TTAAGCACCTGGACCTCAGCTCCAACGCCCTGCTGGCACTGCCCGGACAGTTGGGCGACTGTTCCAAGATTAAAGTCATCGATCTTAAGGTATTGTCCCCTTTTTTGTGGACATTAATTGTCTTATTCTTAACCATCGATTGCCATAAAAAGACTTTTTGATTAAAACTAAAGTTTTGAAAACTTTTTTGGATTAATCTAATGATAACTAAAAGTGTTTTTTGTGTGAAAACTCCCACAGAATAACAAACTAAAGGACAGGCGTTTAGTGAAACTGATAGACCAGTGCCACACCAAACAGATCATGGATTACATCCGGAGTCAGTGCCCGCGCACTACTAGTAGTCAAAAGCCGAGCGCCGGTACCACTGATGGCGATGACAGCGCCACCGGAGGCGAGAAATCCGGTGATAACAACACCGACAGCGCCGGCGATAAGGTGAGGGATGCCTCGCAAGACAGGCGCTCGAAGGCCAGGGATGCCCGTAGGCGCCGGCGCTCGTCATCCCGTTCCCCGCGCACGTCCGAAAGCAGTGATAAGCCGGCGCTCGACACGATTAACGTGTTGGCCGTCCAGTCGGACGAGTGGTTTAAGGCGACGACAACGCCGGCGGTCCACGAGTTGCGCAAAATAGTGGTCTGTCTGGTGAGGGGCGTGGATCTGACCCGCGAGGGCACCATCAAGAGGTTCCTCGCCTTGCAGACGGGTACGGTATTTGGTGTTTGGGTTTAATACCCGTCCCTTTTCACGAGTTTAGCCCTCTCTTGAAGTCTCTCCTATACTCTCATGTCTTATAGTATCTCTCTCTCTCTTTTCTCTCTCTCTCTCTCTCTCTCTCTCTCTCTCACACACACACTCACACACACACATACATACATACCCTCTCTCTTACTCACTCACTCATACCCTCTCTCATACACACTCGCATACCAAACCCATAACTCATACCATACATCTCTACCCCACACGCATACCAGGCCTGCACACCGGTATCTGCGGTCAGCGCCAACACGCGACTATAGCCACACACGACTTGTCAAAGATAATCGGCCGCCAAATCCACTTTGATGTGCGGCCGCCGACCAAAATACGGCTCATTCCCCTCAACCGACCCAAAGAGATGTCGGCGCAGGAGTTGTATAAACAGCTGAACGAAGAGGCGGAGGCCTACCGGAAGGAGAAGAAACGGCAGTCCTATTCAGGCATTCATAAGTACCTCTTCCTCCTGAAGGGTAAACA